CCGCTAAATGTTACCCTAATTGTCCTTAATTGACTTAATTCTACAGTGCAGTGCATTTTAAAACAGAGCCCTGGTTTGTTCCACACTACTGCGTGGGCTGAGTATAGTGTGCATTTTGTACAGCTCTTTTCAATGCTCCAAAATGATTAGGCAACTGTGGATTCAAGCTGCTTTCCTGTGTGTTAAGATGTTTTAAAGCATGTAATGGAATTCAAATCAGAGACACAAGAGGTACTGACTCAATGTGTACCAAAGTACTTTTATATATGAAGTAGTCACTAGTTCTTCTATGAAAAGCACTACACCCACTACTAATACTACTCCTGCCAAAAACACTAGACCTGACATAAACCCAAGATTTTTTGCCTGTAGGTGTAGAAGTAATCAACAAAAAACTAAATTACTGCACCTTTTACTTCTAGAACTACTGAGCTAATGTCCCCTGATTCAAGTCATGACCCTAACTTAAAGAGAAACATACATTTGCATAAATTATTTAGTATTGTATTTAAATGTGACCAATAGTTCTTCTAACTTGAATTATGAAAGAAAAAAACAAACAAACAAAAAAGCAACTGAAACCTACTTTGCATCAACACAAACCCACACAACAAACTTCTGCTTAGTGAAACTTTCTAACAATAGCACAAATATCAGACAGAAAGAAGATGATTGGATAACAACCACTGCCAAACGCAATAGAAAGCCCTGCACGAACAGACCGTCTAGACCAAAAACACAAACTCGTCTCTTATCTCTGTCACAAAGCGAAACACACACACACTCACACAGTCAGCGGGACAACTGAGGTATTGTGGTTAGTTGTCATGTTGCTGGCTGCCTCTATAAGTGTGAGTCAGATTCTATTTTTAGACAGGCATATAAACAGCTATCCGAATCTACCCAGACACAGACACGCAGCTCATCACACCTGCTGCAGGGTCCTCACGCACTTTAGTCATTGCTTTTCTTAATCAATAAACGCAGTGTTCTTGACAAAACCGCACCTCTCTGTCCAAACAGACCCCTTCTACACAACCCTCAAGATAAGAACCAGGTTTGCATTTGTTCTTATGACAAAGTGCAGAGTCACGTGATCGCTAACTGCTGTTCACAAACTGATATGCTGAACTCTCTGACCTTTTAACAACTGTAATGCTTATGTTGTATAATCTATGAGGGGTGGAGCCTGGTGTGTTTGACCAATTCAAAGTCCAGTCCAGGTATATCAGTCATAACAGTCAAAGCAAGAGCTATGAAAGTTTGAAATATGATTTTGTTGCTATTACATCAGATTATTATTATAATTTTTTACATTTTCCAATTTATTTAAAATATTTTGGAAAAAACTATAAAACTTCCATTTTTATCTATTTCGTCTTCACTGACCACATATTTTAGTTAAATTAAGTAAATAAAGTACATTACGTTGCTAATGCTTACCACATCCATGTGATCCTGGTGGAACTTGTCTCCAATTTCCCGCAGTTTGCGTCCAATCTGAGCCTCAGCGCTCACTGCAGGTGGCTCCTCGTTCCTCTGTGCCGATGCGTTTTCTTCCTCCTCTCTGCCCTCCTCTTCCTCGTCCATCGACCTCTCTCCTCGGTCCTCCATAGGCTCAAACTGAGCAGGGAAGTGTGCGCGTAATCCAGCGTTGCCTATAGAAAAACAAGCAACATTATTGTTTGTGACGATTCATTTAAATAACTCTATGAAGCACTGTCAATGTGTAAAACAGTCAAATAGAAATATATTTATTGAAAGAAAAACATGTCCTATTAGATGTCTACTTATTAAGTATTAAGTAGACACCTGAAGTACAAGTGAAAAAGCTTTAAGAGGAAAGTGAGAGACGGCGCTGGTACATAGAAAAGTCAAACACCTTAAATCAACAGTCTCTTTTGTGGTCTGTGTCATCGGGTTTACTTATTGCCTCTAGCATGCGCCGCAGTCATGCCACTTGGAGCGAAAACAATTTTTTGTGCTCTCAAGAAAAGAATGCTATTCTGTCCCTTATCTGTACCAAAGTGTGAGCAGTCCCTCTGTGCGGAGCGGAGCTGGCAGTGGGCCAAGAGCATGACACCCATTACTGCTGAGATTACTCTGAGCGACAAGGTAATAACAGGCTGGGGTGTTGTTTATTGATGACTTTATATCGCAAACAATATGTACCTCTCTCCACTGACACGGGGTCAGCACACAAACATGCTCTCAACATTGGTGCAATTTAATTAGGGTGATGCCACACTGAATTCATTAGACATGCAAAAACACTATTGAATTAAACATAGAACTGTTGTTTGTATGCACCATTGTGGCTACAAGGTATTTGTATTTTCTGTCCTCATTTTCAGAAATGTTATTTTTAAAGTGAAATGCAAATAGAAGCATTCCAAAGTTTATTCCATTTAGGGTTAATATGATAAAAACAAATCACATTGGGGATGGCTGCATGATAATAAAGTTAGGGAGGTCTTAACGATAAATATTTTACCCCCATTTTTTTATATATATAAATAAATGTCATACTTGACTTGTGTCAGTCCTGTCACTGGCCTCTGGGCTGTAGTCTGTGCTCACCATGAAAGGGGGTGCGTGGTTGCCAGTGCAGACTGCAGGGCAGTGCGTTGATGCTGATGCTGTTGTTGTGGCTCTGTGCAGTGGGCACTGCCACGGTAACCGCAGCCAGGGCCTGTCCAGCCGCCATGGGTGAGGTTGGGTCTTCGTATTTGATGTCCCTGAAAGGCGTTCCCCAGAACTGCGAGATGGGTCTGGACATGTCCTCCTCATCCTCCATATGACGCCTCAGCGGTAAAGTCCCTAAAGCCAATAAGAAGACAGAGAAAGTTCAGTCGTGGGAGTCTGTGATATATCATACTCAAGTACTCATGTTTCTCTGTGCTCAATTTTGGAAGTGTTTACAAGTTAAGAAAATAGCATAAGTACTTAGTAGACCCTCGGAAAATCATCTCACCAATGACATTTGTTGAAAATAAGTCATTAGTCACCATAATGCTCAGTAAGAGGCTTAGACGTGTGAGGTAATGCCCAAAACAAAAGCGACGATGGACTGTCTCGTGCGTGACTGTAGGAATCTGCTGCATTTTATATAGCAACAGAAGGTACTCAATTTTTCGTCCGGTGAACGGTAACCTGGTGGGCGAGTATAAACAACACATCAAGTTTCTGATAAAAAAATAAAATACCTGCACTTGGCGCCTGAAGATGAGGTTACCTTAAACTGAGATAATGTAGCACACATCTCACTACTGTAGGGATTTAAAGTTCCTCCTGCTTAAGCACTTCTCTATTGTGTTACTTAAACCACATTTTGTTGGAAAGCTGCCTGCCTCCACCATCAGCTCTCTCTGTGCGGTGATCAGGATTACGTTATTTGTGTGAAACCACTTAAGTCAAACCAAAGTTTGGCTTGACAGTCACATGCCGCTGCTACCAACACAGACCTGAAGAAAAGATGACAACTTTCATACCATAACTCAACTAGTCTGCCTGAACACACTTACTTTTCCTTCTCCTTTTCCCTTGTTGGGCGCGTGCCATTGCCTGATCTGGTGTTGTTGTGGTTTTCTGTTTATGCCTCTTGTTGTGTAAGTGGAGCGAAGTAGGCAGGGCTGACTGGCAAATGCAAAGGACTGTAACTGGATACACCGATATTGTGTTTACCAACTCAGCGGCTCTGGTTGGATATGTCACTGTTTGAGTGGTGTCACAACGAACCCAGTCACGCTAACGTATTGTTCAGGTGTGTCTGATTACTCTCATAAGACTTTAGAGTAGGATTTTAATGTCAACAAACAAGTCTTACCAAGAAAGAAGTGCTACTGCTTGATACATTACTGCTTGAGTCACTTTCTCTAACCGCCAGAACATGTATAATAGCTTTTCCAAGTCACAACACAATGCTTCATAGGCAGATCATGCACCTGCAATTAGAAGTTTGGCCTTAGTTCCTGTTGTGTCAGAAGCAATGCAAGCCCCTTCATGAATTTCCCCTGGCAGCCAACTCAAATCTGGCAGCAGGATAACAACACACACACACACACACACACATATACACACATAAACACAGCGCCCGGGGCATCTCTGGGGCCTGGCAGGGAGTGCAGAGCTGCTGGTCAGAGAATCAAAGCCGCTCCAAAGTGTGGCTCCCTCTGCTGCCCCGTGCGCGCACTTGGCTCAACTTCAGCTCAACTCTGGAGGGCAGGAGGGGGTGCAAACAAGGTGAGCAGTACCGCAGTTTCACCTCATGCTTCATTGGGCAGCTAATATACTAGATCCTGCTGACAAGTACAACACCAAAACAATAACATAGCATTTGCTATTTCATGAGCTGAAGAACTAGGCGGTGACGACAGGTAAAGCCACCTAGTGCCGAACTGGCACAAACTTTGTAATTAAATATAGGTCAAATCACTCCTCCATGTAAAGACTGTTACTGTTACTGTTATGAAATCACCATTATGTACTAAAATGACACGTTTGCCATCCCCAACAAGCTTTGTACGACCACCGACAGATTTCGATCCCTCTAACCGCACCAAAGGCACTGTTTACCGGACAGTGATGCGCCGACGCACGCTGGTTTCAGCGGTAGTGTCGCTTTGACTCTAGTGAGTCGACACAACCAAAATGACTAACGACATCCTCCAATAAAATAAAGATTTGGCTATCTACAACCCTGTATATTCTCTCTTTAAATTAGTTGGTAAATTAGGTCAACTTCTAAACTGTCGCTCAAGAAAACAAAGCCGCATGGCTGCTTGACATGTTCTCGTTGGCACCGCTGTAAAAAAACTATTTTCCTCCTATAATGCACTGTCAGAACTTTAACCTACTTTCTGTGTTTTATCTTGGCCACCACACCGGATCATTCTTCCCCCAAACAAACCCGCTGACCGTGTGAATGCGCTCTCGTGTACCGCAGCTCGGTCATGATCGTGAATTTAATTATTTGACAATCAGCATGACACATGTGGCACTTTGACGTTTAACTGGGTGGTGTTTAAGTGAGGAAATGAGCGGTACGAACCATGGCTGCTCAAAGACCGGGACAGTCCACTTGATAGATGAAGTCTTTTAAACCAGTCGATCAACACGTCCTCAGTGAGAATAAGGTAAGAAAAATACTCGTTCACGAGAAAAAGTGGGTAAAAATACTTCAGAGAATGCCCTTTGCCATATGCCAGCACTCTGCGAGTCCGCTCATCCAGTATCTGCCCGGGCATGCCCCAGCGCCAGCTGCCCGCTCATTTGTTGACAAACTAAGCAGTGAAGGAAGGCGGCAAAAAGAAGGCAGTTTCGGTCCAAGAGAAAGGCGAATAAACTGTGACTGAACTCACCGCCAGAAAACAGGCTTTCCGTAGTGATCGGTGGTATCTTGACAGTTTGATGCTAACTTGTTCGCTAATGATTGTGGTGATGCGGCTCGTATCCTCTTTGCATTACAGCTACTCGTGGTGGATGTTTGCTGACTGCAGAGGGCTTGTTTTTTTCTGCCACGGCGGCCCGCCCTGATGGACCCGGGGACCCGCCCCTAGTCATATGTGAAAGGGAGCAGCAAGTACAATGTTATGCAAATGTAACACAGCCTATTCACTTTATTATCGATTCAAACTCAACTAAACACTTTGAAATGCCCCGAGTGTTGACAGCTAAACGAAATTAAACCACGGAAGCATCAATAAAGTAGGATATATTACAACACAATGATTTATTAGGCTACCAGGGCACTGGAGTAAGTTTATGCATTGCACTGCTAGTGTACTGCAGACTGTAGTGAATACATTGGAATAAAATACGTTATAATGCGCTATATTATTGCACTTACGAGACATATTGAATCACATTCACAGATGGTGTCAAATAGCCTAATAATAAACATGTAATTCATGATATAAATAAACAGAAATATATCCCTCCATTCCAACATAATTGCTATTCATTTGCAATACACATGAATGGGAAATAATGCTGTCCACAGATAATTATTCAATATTATCCCATTTGCTTTGAGAAAAAATATGGCATTTTGAGGATATCGAAATAAAAACAAAATTATGTCGAATGGCTTCCCAAAACTGTTTTAAATGTGAAATGATTAGGTGTTAAATGTTCAAAAACCTCGATCATCATTCTTCGAACATTTCTTGGTATTGTTGTCAATAAGTAAATATTGCGCCTGGCCCTTTAAGAGGACTGTCCTGTTGGAAGGCATAAGCTGGTGACAAGCTCTCAGCCAATCAGGCGGTTTGTTATGGTCCCGCCTTCTGCTTCGTGTATCTGGACACGTGGAGGGGAAAAAACACAAACCGAGATAAGACATGTGACTAGTGCTCTGTGCTTTGCTCAGCTGATTGGGAGCCGCTGCTGATCGTAGAGCGTGTACCCACCCTTATTACCGGGGTGTGAGTGATGCTGTCTTATCTACCGTGAAAGAACAGCCTTCATATTAATTGTCTTTTCATGCATTTTATGACCCTTAACTAATGCGTGTCTCTTCATGTAAAATTATATGATTTTATGTCATCAATTTCCAATAAGTAGTAAATCCAATGACATTAAATACATCGTGACACTATTGGGGGCATTTTCATCTCTATCCCTGAGGGCACCTATTACTGACTATGTTGTGATCGATGTACAATGACAGTGGAATAAACAACATGCATAGCTGGTGACCCCTATAGCAGGGTGGGGGTATGCATACTGTATATGTACGGTATGGATCTTAATGAGAGAAAAACACAGTGAAATCAAGCTTGATCTGCACAGGGGGTTACTGGGGGCAAAACATCCAGGCTTCTCATGCTAGACTATTTGATCCATGGTGTGAGTCAGACTATTCCCAGGAGAGAATTTCTAGATGAAAGCAGATGTTGTAGCATTGGACCAACATTCCTGTTTAAGCTTGTGCTCCACTTTAGTAGAAGAGGCGTGAATGTGTTTACGATGTCAACTTTTCACTGTATTCTTTTGTGTACTTGCAGGTTTTTGGATACAAGCAAACAACCTCTGCCTAGTTTAAGCTGCTGCTCTACAGAGGATCCCAGCCCCCACTCTCATCCCACCAGCCCCCTTCTGCTCCAGTCCTGCAGTGTAAGGACCCCACCCAAATTTTACAACAGAAACATACAGCAAAACATGACTGGTACTACAATGATATTCCTATATGCTTTAGCCTATATACTATTCAACAACAAACCAACATTTTCATTTTATAATAATTAATAACATATTTCTAGACTGAATTTCTAATCAGTTTTGTGACAAATTTGGTTTATTGCATTGGCCTAGTTGGTCATTTAATAAATGCTACTATTTGAGCTCCTTTTCCATTTGAAAAGTAGTAGAAAAGTACTTCCTGTTAGATTTTGCATACAGTGTTTTTAAAGCCAAGTGGCCAAAACATGTTTACTTGCATTACTTGAGTCACTGATCAAATTTTATGGACATTTTGCAGCACAGCATTTTTATATTTCCATATATTGAGGAGCCCTAAAGTACTTAAATCTGGTTGAGTAGACACCTGGGAGTCATTATTTATAAACTGCTCATTATTAATTGCCTTTAATGTAATAACACAAATGAAAACAAACAAAAAGTAATCCTGATGGAATTGGAGTATGAAAAAACACCAGTTATTTTGATGTAATATTCATCCATTTGGACCACTTTCCAGAGGTAGATCTTTTAAAATTTAATTAGTGCACAGTGTGCTGCTTTGAAAAACAAAGAATAGAAAAAATCCAATGCCCTGTTTCGTACTTTGTTTTTTCCCCACTCTATCAATAACTAATTAGTCTTCCCAAACAATAGCTCCAGGAGTTGTGAATTTCAATCAGTTGGTTACTTCATTGCCAGTGGACTCTAGGGTATATGGTAGTTTTGTCAGTGATTTGGCGAAGGTTTGTCGTCTTTTGAACACTTCACCACATTTGTTTTGCAAATCAGATTTTTGGCAGCGTGTTTTTTGCACCGTGAATATAACATGATGTGCCGTCAGTGCCAAAGATTTAGAAGCAAAAGCATCACGTATTTTGCAATCTCAGTTTTTAAGTCATTTTCTGTCTTACACTTTGAAATACACTGCTCCAATCACTTTGAAGCTGCCTTTTGTGTTATCACTGAACTCAGGAACTTGTCAACTAAAACTTACGCTACCTCTTTTGTGTCAAGTAAACTGGCAGACGACGTGTCCCGGCCCATATTTGTTTCAGCATTTTTTCCCTGGCGAGACACATTATTCTCCACAGTGAGTTATTTCTGACTTTATGCTGCCAGGAGGGGTGATAAGGCTGTAATGTTGAAAAATCTTCAAAGTTTGCTGCATAATTACATGAATTTGCTTGGTACCATTTCCTCTAATAGTTCCTGACACCCAGACGCTTTGTCTTTATTTTTCAATCAGTTCCACGACAAAACAGCTCTGGCGAAACTGCATGCTCGTACACATCACAATTTTACGGCTACGATCGCTTTTCCGTTTAATTATCTCCCTAAATCCTCGCTCCTGGAGACTTGTTTTTCACATAAATTGATTGTGAAATGACGTGACAGAAATGCCAAGTTTTCACACATTATTCAAGTGCTGTGTCCGCTCCTGTGCCTCCTCCCGCTGTCTTTTCTGTCAACACTTCTTGATTTTAACCATAGGTAGAGTGGGGACCCAGCCAATGAACGCGGGCTCTCTGAGTTCATCCAGAGGTAACACAATTGAAGCCCAGTAGCACCCAAGGGAGACGCTTCTGATTCGGGGCATTTTTGACACCACTTTAATGCCAAGAATTAAATATAGCAAAACATAGCGATAATAGGCATGTCTTGGTGTGCGGGATGGTATATTTGAGAGATTGAATTGCATTTGTTGCTTTGCGTCATTCAGCTTGTCTCCACCAGTCTCCAGCTGTGAGAGCATAATGTGAATGAACGTTGGCTGATTATTGAGCAGCGCCAGCAGCTCTTGTTGTAAACAAACCATTTGTCAGGCAGACTGGCATGTCTACTGACACCTGTGCAACCTCCAAGATGATTCTCACTACCAATTTGCAGGTGAGCACTGTGCCACGTCCGCCCACACTATACAGTATGTGTCATGAAACTGTTTTGCAACAGTGAACTTTGGCAAACTTTGCAAATATATCAAAAACACAAATTAGGGATAGTTATTGCATTGTGTACAAATAATTCTGTAGTAAGCCAAAAAGTTCAAAGGTTTAGATAATTTTAATATTACAGTATTTTCTGATCTACTGCATACTATAATGTTGTTTTGTCATAAAAACAAACCTGGAGTTGTGTTTTGTTTCATTCACATATTTAACACAGATATCCTGCCTATTTGCTGTAGTCTGGTTCTTCTTAGGTTCTTCTCTCAAACAGAAAAACTCAACCTTGTGATGTCATTGTAGTAATAGTAATACAGGAAGTGCTCATCTCCATTAATTTTCACTAGGATAACTTGGATAATTTTTTCCCTGGAATTTCCAATCTACAAAGTAAAAGATAGCTTGTTATCATGACTCACAATCACAACTGCTTCATGACATCACGAGGTGGAACAGAGCATTCTGAATTTGAGATGTAGACAGACTAAAAATAAAAAATAAAGGGCTACTCAAACAGGTGTGACTAAAACAAAACACAACTCCAGGTATATTTTTGAGAACAACACAGCATGGCTTAAAGCTCACAAGAGTACATTTTGCATAATATGGGACCTTTAATCAAAAGGAGCTTAACTTTACATTTAGGTGTGTAGGACGTGTATAATGAATGATTGGCTGAATGTTGGGTACACACATTTTAGAACTGTATGGTATCAAAATTTCACATGCATGGCAGGCTTTGTGAGATAGATACTGTGCAATTATTGAAGGAAATATCTAAATTGAAAATCTACAATTGATGGAGTACTCATTTTTGTGAAGAATTGAGCTCAGAAAGTCACTATATGGCTCAAAGGCCTATCATCTGAATCCAATCACGTCTGTGTGAAACTTTTGGCTACTCCAGTGAAAAAAATCACATTAGCTCATTTCTGCTGACAGAGACGATGTTTCACTTTGCTCCTGTTTTTTGTCAAGTGGATAGACTCACTTATTACATATTAACCCTAAACTAGAGCATTTTGCCAATGTCAACAGCAAACTCTAATGTGATTTCTCTAACTCAGTTTTAAAGTATGGTCTATTTAGAATTTTGTAATGAACAAACACTATCTTTATTATACTGCTTTTGCACTGCTTTGAGCTACAGTGACAAGATTTACATAATGACCTAAAATGTCAGTCACTTCTTGAGCTATTGTTGTTAAAGCAAAACTGGAATGACTCAGGTTCACCCATTCTTTATAATAAGTCTTTCCTCAGTATTTTTCATCAATACTACCAAGACTGATCTATGTGGAGGCAACAGCCCTAAGCCGTTAATGTCAGTTGTAATCAGTTTAGTTGCCAATTGGAGACAAGAATCGTTTGGTAATTGGCTTTGATTCAAGACCCGGCCAAGACTTCTATTCTGCCAATAAGTGAGATTGGACATTTGACACGTGCTCAACTGTATTGTATCCTACTAATGACTAAGTATTGAGTTTACAGTCCACTATTGACATAACAGCCATTCTTTCTCAGCGTTTCAGCTCCTGCCCCAGTCTCTGTGAGTAAGGCAAGTTTAGTGAAAGCAGTTTCTGCAAGGGGAGGGTGATGTTGTCAAAACTGAACATTTCAGTATTTTTGTAGATTCTGCTGATAGCAATAATCAGATAATACTTTTGAAATGTACAAAACGTGCTTGTAAATATCTTGGTTGAGGTTCAGGCATTACACAAAAAGTGAATAAACTATAAATTTAAACAAAAAAGCGTGAAATTACACAACACGTTTCTGTTCTTTAAAATTTTTTTATCAACTGGTTTTTGCAGTTTTATTTTTGGCTTCTTTTATAATGGATGACCTACTAGATATTCCTGTTCAAAACAACAATTACAGAATATTCTTGCAGACCATATATCTACCTACGCTCCAGTCTAAATTCCTGTCTCTTCCTCTTGGTTGCCTTGATGTACTGAATTCATAATTGGTTAGTAGAAGTCACTCAGGCGCTTCATGCTGTGTTTTGAAGAGTGTACTCAGTGTCCACTCACTAGCCGCTCTCCAGAGTAATTCTTGTTTGACCATGTGCGGTGGAGTTGCAGTAATAGGATACTGGGAAGTCTGAGATGTGACTAACTGCTTTCCTGTGTTGACACTAGGATTCTCAGGGCTGTAGTAGTTAACAAGTTTGTGTGAGATCTCCCTGAGTTTGTTTTTTGGGTGTGGAGGGGGTCCAGGCTCACCTCATCTAACTGTTAATCTTGTGTGGTTGGGGGGTTGGCATGTTTTTGAGTCAGAAGTTGTGCCGGTGGTCCGAGATATGGCTCAGCATTTGCAGTCGCTGTACTTGCTATCTCGCTTTTATAGTTGTCGAAGATGTAATGCGCTTCAAGACCACTTCATTGGCTGATAAAGTGTTGGTAGGTAGGTGCTGTGCGGGAGATTAAAAAAAGAAAGCTCAGATAAATCATTGAGGGAAGGAGACATGGATGGAAATAGAGTTGGAGTTGCTCTTGTTTCTACGGTAACTGTCGACGGGGAGGTACCAGCGATGAAAGTGGAGGAAAAACAAACCTCCCCGCTCCGATGGCAACAGCTCAGCAATTGGTTCTCGTTTCCTGTGAGGACAAGTGAAAGAAAAAAAAAAAAACATAACAAGGTCCCCTCGTAGCCCAGGAGACACGGCTCTGTGTTGCATCAGAAAGCAAGAGGCAGGGCAAAGCTAGCACTCGCCCACAAACATGCACAGACAATCACATGCTCCACTTCACCAGAACTGGCCTTGCTCCTCCCACAAGCCCGGCTGCACACTCCCACTCTCCCGCCAAAACATCTCCAGCACGTGAAACCTGCCTAGAAACCAGGGGGGACTTCCGCTCGCCTCTGATTGGTCCAGCTCCCTAGCAACCGCGTATGCCCGAGCAGCCAGTCAGGCGCGCTGAGAGAGGCACACTGACCCAATGAAACAGATTATTCAGTAGCACAAGCAGCACAGTGACCTGGTAA